TTGACGTATAAATATAAATTATATAATTAATAATACTTACTTGTTCCGCTTTTTCCATGTGACATTTGTAAAGTAAACCACTATATTCGCATTCGTCATCCATTTTAGGAACTGCAAATATATTTATAATATTTAAAGCAACAGTAAATTAATAAAAACGATGAACAGAATCTTATGGGTATATTAACGCATTGATAAATGAGTAATTAATATACCATGCATAGATAAGCACCAAAAAATAAATCTTTCGTTGCTCAAAAACGATATTTTAACTAACCTTCTTCGTTGCATTCCTTCACAATGCTTAAGGACATTTTGTAGTAGTCAGGATCTTCCCGTTCTATTATATCCGAATATCCAAACTTATCAACAATTTTATCTCCCTCTAGTTTCTGCAAACAAATACATGAAAATAATTTTTTGTTTCTGATATTTATACCTTTTTTGTAAATCTTACGATTCCCGATTCTCTTGTAAAACAAGCCAAAAAACATTTGTCGTTGCGAGTTAATGAGCCTTTAGGGTCCCTAAAGACAGACACCTCATCTGAAAACAATCAAGTAAAAAAATTGAACGAGATTGACTTTTAGTTTCCTTAAAGCAATATACAGTGTGATGAGATAAAGTCGCTATTTAGGTGTAAACATAAATAAATCTAGTTTTAAGAATTACGTACTACAATAATTAACTTTAAAATAAAGAATTAAGTTGAAACATGAATTACTGAAATCTATTCATAACATTTTTATTTTTTTATTGATTTTTAATATCTGCTGCCTATATTTAATAGTATACTTTTACCTTCAATAAAATTAAGATTCAATTCATGTACAAAAGTACACAGAGATTGGTTAAAAACATACTTTTAGTTTAGGTTTAATATTGTTTAAATTATCGACGGTGCACATTTGATGACATATTGTAAATAATTTTATGTTCTAATAGAAAATTGAAATAAATTGTACTAATGTTTCAGTATACCAAGATCATCCTTGCAATTTTTTTTGGGTTGTAGGGCCATTATCAAATTATTAGAATATAATTGCAAAAAAATAACTTTTGCTGAAACATTACTACGTGTATATTATTTACAAGTTTAAAGCAAAATTTCAGCGTTGAGCTTTATTTTAAAACCTGTAAATAGAAACAATCAACTTATTTTGTTCTTTTCGATTTAAATACTTATAAATGTATGCAATAATTTCTCAAGAAGAATTTTTTTACTCATCTATGCATACTGCAGCTGTTATAGATCAGATGAAGTTTATTATTTATTTATTAGATTGTGTTTTTGAATAAATTAGTATTTAACATGATTATTTTGAATATTGTTATTGATGAGTTAATTTAGTTATTGCTTTATCTTGGCTAAATCCTTAAAATAAAATTCTTATTAGATACGTTTTTTACAAAAAGCAGTGATTAGTTTACGCCATTTTAATTAGCTACGTTTGCTTTGTTATTCTTACCTGATGACAGTCCTGTTTCTTTTTTACATTTTTCCATGATTTCATGCATAGTCTTTCCAATTTTTTCCATGTTTTCGAGGGATAACTGTCACAGAAATGTAGATGTTTAAACATACAGGTAGTTTTTTGCGGAATGTGTTACTTATTTTATTTTGTGCAATCAAAGTAACTGACAGGAATATAGAATTGTATGTTTCACCCCACAAAATTATACAAATCGCTGGCGAATTTTATGTTGTGGTAACAATATAAAAAAATATAGGGAAAAAACAAAATATGTGAAGTTTGTTTACAGGCATTTAATAGATTTATGATAGTAAATAAAAAATAAAAGAGACTATGCATCCAACAGATATAAACTATTAAAAAATACTTACATTAGCATTTACCCTTGCAGTTACGATAAAGAAAGTAAAAATAGTAAAAATTTTAAAATCCATTTTAATGTTTCCCATTCAATAACAAAAATGTAATCACAAACCGAATGGTGTAAGAACAGTCTTTTATGTTACTGCTTGCGTTTCAGAAATGTTTTCTAATAGCAGGTTTTATTACCAATTTTCCAAAATATTTGTTAATAGAACAATACACCGCTAGTTGTGACCCATCAATTATTTAAATGAATTGCCGGTTAGTGGAATTGGACATTTAATAGAAATAAATTGCGCAACTTCCGGCACTTGAAGGATGTTCCTTTTGTTGAATTTGTAACAGGTTTGCTACGCCTACCTTTTACAAAAAGTATATAATTATTGACTGGAAATATTATTCAAAGCATTTAATTGAAAAATGCTAAACGTTTCCATTTGATTTACCCATAAAAAAAGGCCCAAAGAACATTGTAATTCAAGGTAGTAAATAAAATTAATAGATGACTAAACAATTAATTGTTTCTTTAAGATACATAAATGTTTGTGTAAAAAGCAGCTTTTGCTGATTTTTATGAGATAGAGTAATACAGTAGAATTCGTTTATTATGACTCCGCCTATATTGACCAACCGCTTAATATGAAGTAATTGCAGTGTTAAGTCTGGTTTTCATATTAAATTCTCTATAGGAAAGTTTGGATAAAATGACATATCAGTCATACGATTCTCAAGAAATCATATCCGGCTATAGTGACCCGAATTATTAACAATAACATTTTCGCTCATTTTTCTGACCCTTCTTATGTATATTGATATTACAATTCATCGTTCTTATTACTTTTCTGTTAATAAATATATACAATTTGTAGTTTTTCTCTCTATTTAACTAAATAACTAACCAAAATAGAAAGTT